GTGAAAGTAATACAGCATTTCAGAAAAGGAACATCATACAGTAAAATATGGAGGTGGTAGTGTCATGGTCTGGGGCTGTTTAGTGCCTCGGGACCTGGAAGACTAGAAAACACCCTGAAGGAGAATGTTTAGTCTGTTTGTGATCTCAGGCTGAAGCTCACTTGGGTTCTGCAGCAAACCAGCAAGCCCACCTCTGCACGGCTTACGAAAACAAAATGAAGACTTGGATTTAGGTCAGGATTTAAGTCCTCACCTGAATCTGATTGAGATGCTGTGGCATGACCTCAAAAACGTGGTTCACGCTGAATTACAACAATTCCGCAAATATGAATGGGCTAAAATTTCTCCATGGGGCTGTAAAACCGCTAAGGGTGGCCCAACCGGTTATTAGGATTTGGGGGCAATCACTTTTTCACACAGGGTAATCATAACTTTGTTCCCCCCCCTTAATAATAAACACCATCATTTAGAAACTCCATTGTGTTTACTTATGTTATCTTTGTTTAAATTTAAATTTGTTTGATGATCTGAAACATTTAAGTGTGACAAACATACAAGAAAAAGGAAATCAGGAAGAGGGCAAACACTTCTTCACACCACTGTATATTTATGAGAGAAGAAAAGCATATCACAAGTTTTTGTTATTTTCCCTCGTGATGTGACGGCTATGTCAGTGACAATGACGCTGTTCATTGTGATGTACAAATTAAAATGTTTTTGGTGATTTGGAGACACATCAAGTGATTAAAAATCTGACTTTCAACGTCCTTGTTAAAAGGGTGGAGGTGTTATTCTTACCTCATGTAGGGCGGCTGAGCAGTCTGGCTGTTGGGTAAGGTGTTGGGTGGAGCTGAGACATTTGGGGGTAGTGAGTGTAGAGGTCCAGGCTGGTCGCTGGGCAGATTGTAGGGCTGTGCAGAGGGCATCTGAGGCATGGATGGAGGAAGATAAGGGGGTGCCGCTGGTCCAAGGTAGCCCTGAGAAGACCAGGAGAGGAGCGTGCTGATAAGTGAATGCACTGAAAGGATGTAATAGAGTTCGGCAGTGAACTTATTTCCCAGTAAATATAGCACAGAGCCAGAAAAACTGGTTGACCGCTCCCAGCAGGTGCTGCTGTCGGTGACTGCCACTGACCTGCTTGGTTTGTTTTGGCGTTTATACTGACCTGTTACCACGCCTATGCTGCAGCTGCCGGCATGCTACGATACTGCTGTTTGTAGTATTTATTAGTGAATATTTAACAGTTTATAAATTGTAACAGTCCTAATCTAAGCCACCAGATATGAGGAAGGTCAATTAGGAGAAGGGTTGCTCACAATGCATTCATATCTACATGTAAATTATATTTTCCAGTTTTATCTTGTGTTGGTAACTCAATTGCATTGGCCACCTCCTGACTGTCACAGTGCTAACAGTTCTCCCTTTGCCTATTTAGCATAACATGTGGTTAATATGGGTAGCTTATTTTTTAAATAAACAGCTAGCTCTTGCAATATGCTTACTGTAGAGTTAGTAGTGTTAGTGTGATGGGTATAAAGCAGTCTTGTAACACATTCCTATTGCTCTGGTTGCATTTTGTTTAAACAGACAGCTGAAAAATTGGCGTGAGTTAGTCCTCGACTAGCCCTGTTTAAGTCAACTTGTAGTAATTTAGATCTTTCAGACCACTAACCACGCCCCCAAAAGAAAAATAAAATGCTTCATGCTATATAAACTGATGCTGTGTTGTTTTTGCTCCAACCAAAACCTATAGCAGTGTGATTATGGGACATCTGTACCTAAGTCACTTGAAATTAATGCAAACAAATTACAAATGAAGAGAACTGCTCAAGAATTGTAATAATCCAAATCTCTATGATGACAATTTCCTTATCTTTTGAATTTATTCAAGACATATAATGAAGCTATTTTTAGTTTCACCACCCTTTAAGCTCTAGTTGGAGACTGCTACATCCAGAAACTACAACCTTCATTGTCTGAGATGCTACAAACATCCTCAGTCAGTAGCAGGTCACCAGCAGCTGCCCCAAATAATGAGATTTGGTGAGCTATGTTACACAAATAGCCTCTAGAGAAACGTGCACCGACAGAGATATTCAAAGAACAAATACCAATAATATAAGAAACAGTTATACAGTTACAAATTACATAATATTGGAAAACAGAGTTGAGTTTATGTAATTTTCAGACAGAAGATCAGCTGTGTTCAGTCTTTATTCAGCATACAGAAATGATGCTGATAAAACACTTGTTTTAAATTATTAACAGTTTCAGAATTTTTTGTCATTTTAAATCCTTGTTTTTAACCAAGTCCCTGTTACTGCAGGTGCAATAAAATCCTGACAGTTGGATTTAAGCTGCATGGAGCTCTGGTGTGGGCCTGCTATGCGAAGTGGACAGTTTTCTAAATCTCCAGGGAAAGACGGTGACATTAATCACCACCAAGAAAACAGCATCTGCTGAGAAAGCTCCGGCGGCCAATGAGACATGTTAGAGACATCCTTAAAACATGTATGATTCAGCTCTGCGTCCTGCTGATTCTCCATATGTTTACATACACAAACATATATTTTTTCTATTCGGCTTGCTATCTAAACATCATGGATGTATACACGGTTTCAGCTTCGACGTCATTTACAACTGAGAGTCACTCTAAGGCTGCGTTCACACTGCAGGCGAAATCGCATCAAATCCAATTTTTTTGACCCTATGCGACCCATATCCGATCATGGT